ATTACGGATTACGGATAACCACATGGACAATGCCCTCACCTGGCCATGGATGTCGCCGCAAACGGTGACGGGCGTGCTCACGGGCAGGATGTTCGTCTCCTCCAGCAGGATGTCGCACACCATCTCGCACAGCTTCTTCAGCTCGTTCTCCGGCAGGTACTTGCACTCCTTCACTGTCTCTATCCACTTGTCCACATCGCCCATGCTGACTACTCAGGTATTATCCACTTCCACTCCGCCAAATTACAATATATTATAAATAATACAATTAGTATTTGCCCACCTCTAGTTGGCACTAATACATATCGATATCAATCGCGCCTTCTCATATCGATTGTTCAGCAAATATTAAATGTTCATTAATTTAATTATATTTTTAATGTAGTTATTTGTTTCAGTGTTATAAAATATAAATAAAAATTAAATTGATTAAAGCATAAATAAACCAATAAAGTTTTTTCTATGCCACTTGGCCAAAATAACCTATACTATCTCCATTTCCGGTCGATTTAAAAAAATATTTATTTTTTTTACCAATTTTTGCCTAACTCTGCAATTACAGCTGTAAATTTAAATTAAAAACACAGCCACTGCAGTATTAATAAATATGCTCAGGTCACTTTTAATTAAATAATATTTAAATTTAATATTCCCTGCAAGCGAAACCGTATTAAAATCAATTTAATTAAATTGGCTTTTTGCTAAGGTGTTTGCACTTACCTTACTCACACCATAACTCATAAATCACTAATGAAATTCAAAAAGCCCGCGGCTTGCCAGTCTGGCCAGTTGCCAGTTGCCAGTTCGCGTTTTGCTGGGCAACAGCCAAATGCCAAACACCCGATACGGTCACTCTGGCAAATAAAAAAAAACAAGACGTCGTCATTCGGGTTGGAATTCCAACAAAATAGTTAAGTTTTCCTTTTGTTTAACTCCCGTCGAAGAGCCAACGAGTTAGCCAGTGACGACTTCCTGGATCTCGGAGCAAGTCAGCCAGCATAAAGGTGAGTAATCCTCGCGAGCTTCCCACAATCCCCGCCCCCGAAGTCCGCAATTCGGGTGTTTTTGTGAATTTGCCGCTGTGTGTGGAGCATTAGTCATGCCCAGAATTTCGATTTTGCTTGCGAACTGCGTCACCGAAGGACCCTGAAACCGGAATCGGTATCGGAATCGGAGTTGCCGTAGTCCCCTGGGATTGGGTAACCATTATCTTCGATTTTCCCCGCTCCTCGTGGGAGTACGGCATCTCGGGTAGCAAGAGGAAGCAGAAAAGCCTGGGTTTTCGCCCCTAATTGGAGGCCAAATCCCGATGGGGAGGGGCCAATAGTACCCCAAATTGTATAGCCGACTAGCTTTAATGTCCGGAAAGTTGGTATCCATCGTATCCATAAAGAAATCGTAATAAATTAATATGTTATTGATAAATATCTGTGGGTTCCTAAAGATGTAGGCCAAGGATAACCCATAGAATGGTTACCATATAATATTCGGAAAGTTGTAATTCATTGTGTCGATAGACAAATCTTCATATCAAATACAAATTTGCATTTGAATATCATAAATGTAGGTCAACTACATATAACTCATCTTATCATATAATATCCCGAAAGTTGGGATCAATCGTATCGCTAAAGAAATCTTTTGAAATGTGAATATTGTAAATATCAGTTGGTTCCTATAGATGTAGACATACTTGCATCTGCATATTATAAATATAAACAGATTTTCCAATGGGTAATGACCGGATCCAGGCATTCCAGCACAAATCTATGTATGTTATAACTATAACTCTTAGAATAGTTTTCATATTTAAAAAAAGAGGATTAAGGACATGAACAAATCAACCCTGTTCTTTTGAAAGTTGTTTATATTTGTAACCCATTTACTTTGCAGCAATATGGCAGCCGGAACCACACTACAGAAGGCCATCGATCTGGTGACCAAGGCCACCGAGGAGGATCGAAACAAGAACTACGCGGAGGCATTGCGTCTTTATGAGCACGGAGTGGAGTACTTTCTGCACACCATCAAATGTAAGTGGTCCTTCGGGACTTAAAGATTACATTTCAAAATTCCCAAGACGCTCGTTGAGAATTGTTCTTCCACTTGTTTTGCAATCAACTCGTTGCCCCTACAATATCTAAATATCCAAATAATCTCGCCCAAATCAGATGAGGCGCAGGGCGAGAAGGCCAAGGACTCGATACGGGCCAAGTGCCTGCAGTATTTGGACCGGGCCGAGAAGCTCAAGGAGTACCTGAAGAAGGGCAAGAAGAAACCGATCAAGGAGGGCGGCGAGTCCAGCCCCAAGGACGACAAGGACAAGAAGAGCGACAGCGACGACGAGGATGGCGACGATCCCGAAAAGAAGAAGCTGCAGAGCAAGCTGACGGACGCCATTGTCATTGAGAAGCCGAAGGTGCAGTGGTCCGACGTGGCCGGCCTAGATGCCGCCAAGGAGGCGCTGAAGGAGGCCGTCATCCTGCCGATCAAATTCCCGCAGCTGTTCACCGGCAAGCGCATACCGTGGAAGGGCATCCTGCTGTTCGGACCGCCCGGCACCGGCAAATCCTATCTGGCCAAGGCCGTCGCCACGGAGGCCAACCGCTCCACATTCTTCTCGGTGTCCAGCTCCGACCTGATGTCCAAATGGCTGGGCGAGTCCGAGAAGCTGGTCAAGAATCTCTTCGAGCTGGCCCGCCAGCACAAGCCCTCGATCATCTTCATTGACGAGATTGACTCGATGTGCTCGGCGCGGTCGGACAACGAGAACGACAGCGTGCGTCGCATCAAGACCGAGTTTCTGGTGCAAATGCAGGGCGTGGGCAACGACACAGACGGCATCCTCGTACTCGGCGCCACCAACATACCCTGGGTCCTCGACTCGGCCATCCGGCGGCGGTTCGAGAAGCGCATCTACATTCCGCTGCCGGAGGCGCACGCCCGCCTCGTCATGTTCAAGATCCATCTGGGCAACACCACGCACGTGCTCACCGAGCAGGATCTCAAGGAGTTGGCCGGCAAAACTGAGGGGTATGTGTATTTATATATTAGAGATGGAGGGAAATAGGGAAACAAAAGAACTAGATCTTACTTAGATATTTCAAATATTGTGTATCTTTTACCTTAACCAAGTATTTATTTTAAAGGAAACCTCTAATATCACTATAAGATTATCAAACTAATCAATTGATTTTTTTTCTGTTTTGCAGATACTCTGGCGCTGATATCTCCATCGTGGTGCGCGATGCGCTGATGGAGCCAGTGCGCAAAGTGCAGACCGCCACGCATTTCAAGCGGGTGTCGGGTCCCAGTCCCACCAACAAGGAGGAGACGGTCGACGACTTGCTGGTTCCATGCTCGCCGGGCGACCAGGGCGCCATCGAGATGAACTGGATGGATGTGCCCAGCGACAAGCTCTTCGAACCGCCCGTGACCATGGTAGGGATTTGGAATTAATCCATCATTTGTACTGCCACCACTACAATTACCATGTTTGCTATCCCCAGCGCGACATGCTGAAGTCGTTGTCCCGCACGAAACCCACTGTCAACGAGGACGATCTGACAAAGCTGCGCAAATTCACAGAGGACTTTGGCCAGGAGGGCTAGACAGTGGAGCGATCGATCCAGCCCCGCCAGAAACCGTCAGCACCACCAGCTAATTCTAATTGTTGCCTATTGCATAAATTCAAATACGTTTTACTTCTGGCTCTCCTTAAACATTTTTTTTTTATTTTCTACTATATTAATATGTATACATACGATATATGGTTAAATTGCAATTCAAATGCGTCGTGCGATTGCTAAGGAGACGAGAGGAACATAATGATGCAGTGAGCAGTGAGAAGAGGTTGGGATTGTTGTAATCACAAAGTCAATGTATTTTTGTACTCTTAATGTTAAGTGATGTAGAAGAAACCCGAAATCCAAACCGAATGCGATTACGATTGCCACTCGGACTTGCCACCTTGGACACCTGTCACCCGATCGAGATCGCATCAAAAAAAAGAAGGAGGAGCGGGAGGATCAACAAGTGGAGCAGTTTTAGCGCAGCCGAGCAAACCTATTTAAAATGTAACGTACCAGAAATAAAAACGAAAATTGTATACAATACCGACTACATACCGAGAATGCCAATTGTGAATTGCCAATAGCGGGGAATACCCCCGTTCCCCGTCGCAAATGACCCCATTCCAAAACGTAAGCCACCAGGTGGGTGGGAACATGTGGAGAAACTGCGGAGAAGTGGCAGCATTTTCGGCCTAAAGTGGCGCAAAAGAATGCCCTACATGCCATATGATAAGATCTTTATGCGCTGCAAACGTTCGGCCCACGAGCATTAACGTCGTTTCTGGCCGATCGGCCAGATACTATCTATCGGGCATCTTGTGAACGCCGACAGCGCACAGTGGACACAGTTTTCTTGAAACGATTTTTTTTTTCAAAAAGTCAAACAAGAAGAACCTAAATTTGCATATTCACTTAAATTGTATACCTTTTCGTAAACCTTATTTTTTATGGGATATAAATATTCCTTTACATATTATGCTTTGTAATCATAAGTTTGTTTTAATTGTATACCTTTTTTTAAGCCTTTTTTTATTCAAATTTATTCAAACATATCTCTAAAGTATTTTTTGTAATATATTTAAATATTACAATTAAAATAATTATCTTTTTATATTATACAATAAATAATATTTTCTGGTTTAACCATGTTCTTCTTTTTACGTTTTTGAGGTATTTTTTATATGATATTTAAATATGACAATTTAAATAATTACTTACTTTGTATTATAACTGATATGTTAAGGCTAACGTGTGTTTTTATGAGCGATCGACTCCATAGTGCGACGCTGAAAGCTCCGAGTAGCGATCGTGGAGTTCGGCTTTGGGTTCGGGTTCGCGTTCGGCTTTTTCGACTTCGCCTCGTTGGGGTTTCGATCGTGAGTTTGAGCCGGGCTTTGGGCCACCGTTTTCAGTTGATCTTCAGCCGCAAAGGCTAGAGGTTCAAGAATCCAAGATCGGTCCGCGTTCATTTCTGCCAATTGTTTCGCCCGCACATTGACAGTTCCGTTACGTGAGTGCAGCATTGCACAGAGTTAAAGATACAAAGCCAAAAGATACAAAGATACAAAGCCAAAAGACACAGATACACGGCAACAACATTTCTCGGTTTGTTTTGCGCAACTTTGTTTTTTTTTGTTGGTGCAAGCGTGAAAAAAGTGCGTATTTGTTTTGATTTATTTTTTGTTTGGTGTGCAATTGGTTTTTGTCTTTTTGTTTGTTGTGTTGTGGTTTTCTTTAAGGTGCATTAATTACCTAGCCTTTGGGCCTGGCCCTTTTCTGTTGGCCTCCCGAGTTTTACACACACTTTATTTGATCTCTTTTTTCTTACTGTGGTCAATTGTGCACAGCGAAAAAATATGTACTATTACCGATTTAAGCTCATAAAGTGTTAAACATAACAAATGTAGTTTTCATGTCGTTTTAATATAAATACATTTAAAATGATCATGGTTTGATTGTTTTTTTTCGAAAGTTGGCCAACATCTTGGGCTAATTTCTAAATCATTTCTAAATTTATATAAAACAAACACATAAAGACTGCTAAAATACAGCTCATTTTGACTATATATATTATAAATATATTGTTTATTCTTATACACTTTTATTTTTATCCAGAAATAAATTTTTTATTTATCTTGTAGATACTTTAATAGTACATTTTGGAAAAAGGTTATTTAGATAAGGGTAACCAATCATACAATAATATGGTTCAATCCTTTTTGTGTGATATTGCTGATGAAAGCTGCTGATATTGATTTTAGCATGGAGTGAATTTTCAAATAAAATTTTTCCACGTGTAAAATAGCTGTGGTGAAGCGCAACTTTCACGCGCTTCAGGTGAAAACCGTGAGCCGGGTCCAAAATAAAATAAAAATAAGCGAAATGAAGAAGAAGTTGAGACCGAAGCCGCACAGCAGCCGAACATAGATAATTTGTTGTTATATTTGTGTTGTTATTATTATTGTTGTTATTGTTATTGTTATTGTTAACGTTGTTGTTGCTGCTGCTGCTGGTGGACTCTGTTTTTCCCCCACATTCGCATTGTTTTACTTATTTTTTTACGTGACTTACTTTGAGTTTTTGACTACTGTTTTTGTGTCAGTCGCCGTTTTGCGAAACTATTTCAGAAATGCATATTTCTTGCGGCGCAAATTTGTCCAACTGACTGAGTTATGTGCATAAAATTAAGTGCATTGCAGTGTACAGGACTGGCTTTTCATCATCCCATACCCATACCAATACCCATACCCATACCCATACCCATTTTATTTTAAGTGTGTCGCCCTGCTTGCATTTATTGCATCCAGTTTGTTTGGTTTTTCTTGCCACCAGGTATATTATGCATGTTTCGATTAAACTTGTTTGCAGAGGCATTAACATCAACACCTGCCCTCCCCCTGCAGATCAGAAAAAACTAAAAATCATGCTGACATTGACACGAATTGTCGACGCCAGCAACAACTAAAGAAACAAAAAAAAAAAAACATAACAAAACAAAAGTCAAATCATACAGTTTAAAGTTGAAATCCAAACAAAAGTGCCAACTACAAATTTATGACTAAGATTTGTTGTGTGCGGCTCCACAATTAAAGTGCATAAAATCCAATGTCAGAAGCCAACAACATTGAAATACATATATTAATTAAGCTTACTAATTTGTTTTTGGCAAATTCGTCGCACCGAACAGAAATAATAACATTTAAAAGGGGCTATTTTGATCTTAGGCGGTATTTTCGAAGATTTTAAATTGTCTATGATCTATGTAATTCTAATATATGAACTTGGAATACACATATTAATTTAAATTATTTGTTTTTTGTAAATTAATCGCACAATAGAGAAATAAAAATATTTAAAAGGGCTTGTTAAATATCAATTTGCTGAATATGTTGTATTTTTATAAAGACTATGCACTTGCTTAAATTCTGCTCGTTTAAGATAATATTTATTATCATAAATTAAATAAACCTTCAAATATATGAGTATTATTTTTCTCCGTGTGTCAATTTTGAATTGCATTTGGAGTCAAACAAACCGATCGAAGAGCCAGCGAACAATCAACTCTTGCTGATTGTTGGCTGTTGATTGTCGATTGGCTTTGCCCGAGGAACAAGGTCGTTTACCACGCATATTATCAAATGCAAATGGGCATTATATTATGTCTGCTAAATGCTGGAAAATTTCCTCAAATTGTTAAAGCATAATTCGTTGGATAATCGCTGCATTCAATTTGTGTTTACCCTTACCTTGATCACTTATATGCATTCGATGCGCCTATTATTTTATTTTATGTTTTTTATTTCTCTATTACTTAAAGTTCCCAATAAAAGAATTATAATTGCATGGAAAAGAGACCATAAAAAGCAGCGCAGACAAATTAAATTTCTTTTGTTCTTGACAAAGCGAAGCGAGGCCGGTAATTAAAAAGAATAATTATTTTTTATCTGGTGTGTTAATTGTGGTTGTCATTACGTTGGCCAAGTGAGTGGAAAGCCAAAGATAAGTCAGAGCTCTAGATTTTCCCGCTTGGATTCTGGGAAAATGCTGTTTAAGTGTGAGACTCTTTTAAGCACAAGCGGAATTAGCTAGGAAAATATATTTTATGGGATTTGTTAATCAACTATTTCATTTCATAAAACAAAATTTACAAGAAAATGTGTAAAAGTTAAGTTTTGTATATATTACTTACTTATTACTTATTATTTTATTTATTTATTTATTTGTTACTTATATACTTTACATAATGATTTGAGTTAAGAATATATTTTTTCTTTGTGTACTGAAGTTCTTCTCTTAGTTTATTGCGGTTCTCTTAGCTTTTTATTTAATCATCTCATTGTCGTTGGGTAACTGGGCCAGAAGGTTTCGTAAGAAAAGAAATGGTATATGGAAGTGCCTGATTAGGTCAACTCGTTCCATGAACCATAACTATAACTGGCAACTTGATGCTGTCGCCGGGAAATGACAAAAGAGTGCTGGTAATCGGAGTTTGCTGTTCCCGAAAAACTGTGTCGCACACACCTAGCCATACACCAAACACCAAACACCATACACCAAACACCATAAACCTAACACCAAACACCATACACCAAACACCCATTCATTGCATGCATGTAATTGTGCTGGTTTTATTTTCGGATATGCTGTTGTGCCACTTTACCGTTGCATTTGGCTGATTTATGGAATATTGTTTACATATTGCTGCTGCTCTGCATCGCCAATGAGGATTGCATGGCACCACGAAAAGTTCTGTGTTTCGGGAGCCATAAAAAGCGCCTCGAAAACGGTCATAAATAGCAGCTACTAATTGCATGCAGCAAAGCTATGAAAATGTACACCGGAACAAATAAGTCTGCATAACCTTTTAAATACTTTTGAAACAAGCATTTGAATTTCACTTTTCAATTGGGTAAATTATGTAAGCTTTTATGAAATTGATTACTATTTCTTTTGTTTTTTTTTTTTTTTGTATGAGATGTAGCTGTGTAGGGTGTTTTTATACATTTTAGATTTCATTATATTTTTTTATTTTTTATACAACATTCTTTTGTATAACTACAATGTTAACCACCTATTTAGCTGTTTTTTTTTGTTTAATGCATTGTGTTGATTTTTTGCTGTGTAACTACCAACATTGGGTTGAAAATCCCCAAAGGCGCGAGCGGAAATTTTATGCTTTGCTGGTTTTCGTTATATTTTCTTGCCCGACTCTCGACTTGAATCGGATCGGCTTCCTCCTTTTTTTTTTTTTTTTTTTTTGCTGGGTCCGTCGTAACAAACAGGAAACTATTTTATGCTGCCATGCGAAAATTGGCTAAGGAAATTTATATATGTATTTTCGGCTTTTGGGTTTTCCTTACGTCTTTTTAATGTAGCTTTTTTACATTGAGACTGCAATCAGACATCAGCCATCGGTGGCAAGTTCGTTGCCTAAGTCTTTCGTTTGGCAAGTGGCGTTTGGTCAAAAACTTGAATAAGTTGCAGTTTCCAGTTAGGGAACATTTTCGTTTTTAAAATATTTTCGAATAATCAAAGACAACTTTAAGGAATCGTACTATCTATATTTTTATATAGTTTATATATTTATATAGTTAGTTTAAATAGAAACTTGCAATGCTTAAATGAAATTAAACTCAAACTTCAACATCGATTGCCTTACAGTTTTTACGACCAACCTCATTGGCGAAATCAGACTGGAAACCCATAAATAACATTTGACTTCTTCATTGTTGGCTGAATTTCTTAGTGGAATTCACCGCTTGGTCTCGGAGAGTATTAGAGTAATAATAATAAAAGTTTTAACTATTGCATTTGGGTTTTTTCTTTGCTGTTTCTGTGATCCGTTTGACAAGAGCACACACCGACCGTCTGCATGTATTTGGCTTGACAAATCAATCAAATCGCTTCATGCGAATTTCGATTGCACAAAGACACAAGGCGAAGACAATGCATTGGTATTGTGTTTTTTGTATTATTTTTATTTTTTTGGTCTGGCATTTGGCAATGCCAAGTGGCCATTTCCATTGTCCGCCATTCGTTTGGCTCACGTCCAGAGTTTAATGAGACATGGACATTCGGTCGGACGGATGGACAGAAGGTAGAAAAGCGCTGCCAACTGTGAACTGCACTTTTCTTTGGCACGGCTCGGTTTTCTCTATCGATTCGCAAACTTTCCCAGCCAGTTCTCAGTACGTCTCACTTTTTCCCATTCAAATGGGACCTAGACAGAGAAAAAAATATATTATTATTTTAAATTTTAGCTCAATGCCAGGCAGCTTAATTCAAATCTTTAAAATAGCCAAAAAGATACAATAAAATATTAATATAATAAAAATAATAAATTGAAAGTTTGCTAATAAACAAAGTTAGTTAAAACGTTTTAAAATATACTTTATATATAAATAAATTTTAGGGCTAATAAAAACTAAATTAAATAAACAGTATCGATAGGGCAAAAAAGAAAATAACTAACTATTTAAAAATGTCATAAACATATTTGCAAAAATCTCAATTTCAACTAAGTAAAAAAGTATTCCTTGGTGAATTTGAACTTTTGGCTTGAGGATGATTAAATGTTGTCTATTTTGGATTGAAAAACAGTCATACTAGAATACATTAAAGATCTCAAAGATATCGCATATTGGGCTTACAAATTTGCATTTCTATTTTTTTTTTAGTGTATTCTGAGTTTCTAATTTTAAGTACTTGCACCGTGTTTTTCCGTGTGATCGCAGAGATCACAGACACTCGTTCTTCGTAATGAACTGAATTAGCCGCCAAACGCGAAAATGAGCTACGGAAAGCGACAGAGTCGCCAAATTGGGTTAATCTATTTGAAAGTGGAAGCGCTGGCCGCACCGCACAGCACCACTGGCAAAGCTAGTCCACTATATGCATACATATATATATATATATATATATATACTATACTACTATATAAATACACATAAATATCAACATCTGATGGGGCCCATGCGAAAGTCGCCTAAGAAGCATTATTTTGTGCGTTACTTTCCATTTTGATGGCCATGTTCAAGAGTTGGCGTTGGGAGCTGATGATGCTGATGACGTTTGTCGCCGCTTTCTCAGCAACAGCAACAACAACTTCACCTGACAACATTTTTTTTTTCATTCTTTAACGGGACTCGCCTTTTAATTGTGCCTTTTGCCCATCAACATCGGATCTTCACACAATGCGATGGGAACAAAGGGCCCCCCCTTTTGATGAACACGATGATAGTAGTAATGATGGTGTGCTGACATCCGCTCGGATCGGTCGGCTATAGCTAATGGATCGGTGATCGGGAAGTTAAAGTAATCATTATCAATAGGATGCGACTAATTTAAAGAAAAGCAGTCGTTTGATGTCTTAGCTTCGACATAATTGAGTCATTTGTAGACATTATTTTAACGGTTTTTGCATTGTTTATAAAACAATTGATTAATTTAATAAAATATAAATAGATTTAAACCCCTTTTATAAGTTGGTAATCAATATCAATAAAAGTATAGGTTACATTTACCCAATTATAACAAAAATGCTTTCTTTTGATAGTTATTTATGGTCACGAGCAATTACACATTTCCATAAGTTATTATAATTCATTGTACTCATTAAAAATCATGCAGATTTTCTATATGATTTGTATATTTTATTCAGAGGTATAATTAGTTTGCTCAAAATGCCAACTTGTAAATCAATGTTATTAATAGCTAAGCAATCTTTAGTTGTTTGCAAGCCATTCTTTTGAAACTTTGCGATGCAATGTTATAAATGCATTCGTTGTCCGCTGAACCGATGACAAAATATTTCGTGGCCAGGCAATTTCCAGAGGTAACAAGAAGCATTGGACAAAAGTCTCTTTGTGAAATGTTGCACAATCGTCGGTCTTTGGATGCTAATTGATAGATCACGTCCTCCGCCCAACGAAAGTGAAATGATTGTTGATTGAAGACCGCGTTTGTTAATCGATAGGGGAAACAGTTTCGGATTCCGCTTCAGTTTCAGCTTCAGTTTCAGTTTCAGTTTCAGTTTCAATTTTAGTTCCAGTTTGGTGATTTTGTGGCCAAAGGTTTTCACTTTCGTTTGTCACATCTCCGCCTGAGTCACACCTCCAGTTACCATTTACCATTTACCATTTATTGCCCATGCAATAATGATTGAGGCCGAGTAAATTAGCCAAAAGTCAACAAATGGCTGTGTCCACCTGTTGACCCAAATGTGTGAGCCGGCCAAAAGCGGTCGGGCGGGATTTGGCGGCCAGAATGCTCGGCAGTCAAGTGTAAGGTCAATGGACTAAATGCCGCAGATGCAAGATGAGAGAGGCAAGAGACATTGGACCACCAATCCACATGCGCAACATCCTGTTCGGGTGCCACTGCAACCGGCCTATTATACAATGGCTACTGGCTACACGGAGCAAAAAAACCCGGCAACATAACAATCTTTGGAATGTGGATTTCGAAATTAACTCAATATTAATATGTAGGCTGGATATGTAATAATTCTAGGATAAATATAAAACAAATATGTATAAAAATTAGAACAGTTTGTACGCTAAACAAAAATGTGAGATAAATTTAAAATAACTATTGGTATTTTATTTTCTGTTATTAAATGCTTTTTATTATTTTATTATTTTTAATATCTAAAAAATATATGAAATAATTTTATTTTATACAAATTTTTGGAAAAATATATAATTATGCTCGTATTTTTAGCCGTGTGCAGCGAACCCGTTTAACTTTTATGAGTTTGACTCTTCTGATTGCAGACGACTGATCGCCAGCCATCAATCAGGCCATCAATCAGTCAATGCCGCTTGTCGCAAATTGGAGCTGGCGTTGGAATTGGAATTGGAGTTCGAGATCGAGTTGGAGTTGGAGCTGGAGCTGGAGCTGGAGTCGTTGGAGTCATCGTTGTAGTCACCGCTCTCCCTTCGCGGAGAAAGCCAAAGTCGCAACCTGAAAACTGGACTCGACATCCAATACTCGATACCCCGAGTTCCCAGTGGAGTTTGGCATTTGCCGTTTGGCGACAGTGTCTGTTTCAGTGTCTGTGCCTGCCTTTTGGCTAAGTCAGTCAGTGAGTCAGACACTCGAACTTGCAGTCATAGTTATAGTCACGATTCCACATCCACATCCACAACCACAACCACATCGTCTTCGCTTTGGCTTTGCTTTTTTATTTGCTGGCTGCTGCTGCTGCTGCTGCTGTGGCCTGGCAGGTTCACAAATAAGTGAAAGTGAATTTGTTTATTGTATATTTTGCTATTACCAAAGCGAAAGAGACGCATAACACAGCATTGAGACAACTTCAACAACTGGAGACACACTGTGCAATTCCATTTACAGGGGCAGAGATCCGTAGATTTGGCATTCGATCAATGAAGATCGTTGTAGAACGAACAGTCACTACACAACACGAGTTGCAATCGAAATCAGTATGTTAAATGCTAGCTACATACTTCTGGTGGTGCTGATATGCCACACCGCGAATGGTGAGTATACGCCCCGTGGGCTCCATTAACTAATTGCCAGCCGGCAGCGCGATACATTAACTAATTTACTTAGCGCTCGACTTGTATTTGCTTTTGACGAGTGCGTCTATGTGTGTATGTGGGTGGTGCGGTGATTGTGCCAATTGAGAAGACGATCAACGAACCACTTCACAGCAATGATTGCACAATGGTCCAGAGAGCAGCTTTCCATGCTACTGTGTTTACACAATCAAAAATAATGCCCAATATGGGTCATTCCTAAAAATTTGTCTCGAAATTGCCATTGGTTGTAATAAATGAACCCACTATGATTAAGTTGCGAAAGAAAAAGAGATTCGTTCAAGAATTTGTATTACTTTTTTTGTATTTTTGCAATTTTAACTTTAACTTTACATTATTTTTGTGGACTTTGAGTTAATTTTACTTATCCACTCTAATATAATAAAATAAAATCGCCACCATAAAAAAAAACAAATTAGGCAACAAATTAAAAAAGGTTTGTTTTGCTGAAACTATTTCGGTCAATTCGCACAGTTATCTGGCTTTTTTTTTATATTTCCATATTTTTTAAATATTTTATATAAGCATGTCACATTGTTTTAACCAATATGTATCGCTTTTTTTCTGTGTACATTTGCATGTATTCAAGTGTCTGATTGTCTGTATTGTGAAGGCAAAACCAATAAAGTAAAGAGCTTCCAAGATTAGTTTACCCTTGAGCTGAGCCATGATTTGAAAAGCTGAGGATCTTCCAATTATTTATTTAGGTTTGAAAATATATTCATAAGGGAACTGTTTACATGCGATACCAAGGACACAGATAGTTTAAAAGGATTTCTAAGCGGCAATATTTATGAAAATCATTTACACCGCACAAATATAAATAGGTTCTTTCCAAAGAATGACAAAAAACCTTAATGTGTGTATGTGGCTGACAATATGAGCTGGTTTTAAGCTGCCTATTTATTTCATAGGTTCATTAATTATTACAAATCAATTACAATATGAAAATGTTTGAGAAAAATTATCAGACTTTTAACTTTCAACATAACAACTTATAAACTTATAAACTTATTGTTTTTTTTTGTATTCTTAATGAACAACCTAGTTCACATTTCGACAAATCATTTCAGGTAGCTGAGGTGGAGTGAAGGGCACAGGTGTGGCACCTAGATCCTTGTACGTTTCGTGTTTGTGGCCTAGGTTCAATACCTGTGCAATTCAAATCAGCATTTTGCATTTTAAAATATTTTTTTATTGATTTCCATGTAGATATATTGCATTATTTCCTCGTTTCCTCTTTTGGAAAATTGAAGCTCGTTCTGTGCACAACGCGTGCTGACAGTTTTGGGCAGTGGGCATTTTGCATTAAAACCCAATGAATCTAATATGGAAAAGTATGTGAAATGTATGAAATAGTTTTGTCTTTAAAATGTATTCATTTCACATAAATTGAATCTTAAACTAAATAAAGTAGATTCCGATTAGAAGTTAGTAACGCTATATTTTTTATTCTTAGTTAGCCTAGAATTTTCTCTATACATTCCATGTAGATGAGTTGGCCTAAAGGGCACAGGTGTGGTACGTAGGTCTTTCTGAAACTCGTATTTGTGACCTGGGTTCATAACCTGTGCACTTTCATTCAGCATTTTGGACTTCATTTTTTTTTATTGATTATTATGTAGATGTTGTACACTTTTCCCCATTTCCTTTTTTGGAAAATAGCAGTGGACAACGCGTGCGGACAGTTTTGGGCAGTGGGCTTGGTTATTGCTTTTAGTTTTGGTTTCAGTTTCAGTATCAGTTTCGGCTTTAAGGTATTTAGGTATTTTAAAAACGCAATCACGCTTCGGCGATTTATCATACAAACTCGCACACGAGTAGCGGAGTTATGTCATCCGCATGGCGTGCGTTTCGTTTCGTTTCGTTGCGAATCGAATTGTTTTGGGTGAAAAACGTAAGACGGAAAATTAAAATTAAAATAATTCACGCGTTGTCATTGTAAAGAAATTTTAAATTGTTTTGTCACCACCTTGTCGAGGGGGTGTTATATCAGTACTTTGGGGCTGGGTCCAACTAGTCAAGAAACGTGTAAAATATATAAACTTTTCAACAAATTCAATGCTTAAATCATAGAAAATAACTAAATAATAATTAGAGAATAATAATGTATTTTAAGTATTATACAGGGACCGAATATAATCATTATTTTTATTTTTTTAAATAAAAAGTCAAGTGCACTTTTTAATCTTGGCATAATTTCGCACAGTTTAAATATAGTTCCCAATAAAAAAAATCATTATATCTGAACAATATTTTTTGTCTAGCTTAGAATTAATAATTAATACTTTATTTTTATTATCGCTTGTAATGAATACGGTCCCTGGTTTTTAATAGTAAAACAGCAATATCACTTACTCACCTATTCCCAAGAAAGATAGACAGTTTTAAGTGGCTTATTGATTTTGGACTATAAAGAGCTGGGAGGAGCTAATGCCAACTTGGAAATACCAAAATCAAATAAAATCTTAAGTGTCTGCTGGCGAACGTGTCTGCCATGCAAAGAATCGTATTTATTGAATCGATTTATCTGACTTTTAATATGGGTATATTAATCACATTTGCCTGTTTGTTTTTTTTTTGTTTTCAATTTTTTTTTAGCTACCGCCCAGGAAGTGTCGGCCATGTCGATTTCGCCGGCCAATTTCGCGGAACTTTCGCAAGCGGTTGAAGATTCGCTGGCGGAATTTGAGGAGCGCCAGAAGGAGCGACTGCGTCAAGGCCACCGATCGCGAAGGGCCGTGAAAAGGGTTTGCTACGGCGAACTCGGCTGCTTCGAGGACTCCGGCCCGTTTGCCTATCTGGAGATGCTGCCCTCGCCGCCGGAGGAGATCAACACCAAATTCTACTTCTACTCCACCCGCCAGCGATCCGATCGTCCGCTGATGGAGCTGTCCTTCCTAAACATGACCAGTGCCTTTCGTGGCAAACGGGAAGCGGAGGTCTCCAGTGGTTTGGCTTCACCCGAGGACAGTGGTCGATCCTCCAACTCCACCTCCACCTCCAGTTCCAGCTCCAGCTCCAGCTCCCTGCCCACCCAGAACCAGAACGTCACCTTCACCACAGAGCGTCCGAAGAAAGCCACCGCCCAGCCCTCCATCGATGACCTCGAGGGATTCGATGAGCTGTCGGTGCGAGTCATTGTCCATGGCTTTGGCTCGGCCTGTCCGCATGTGTGGATCTACGAGATGAAGACGGCCCTCATGGCGGTGGTAAGTAGAGCTAACTATCAACATAGTTGGCAGGTATTAGAAAATATTTTGTTAAAAAACTAAAATGTTTTATAAAATCAATCAATTCTATTTTAAGTTTTGGACGTACAATTTCGTAAATAAATAAATTAATACATTTCTTGATCAATGGCAACAGTACGTATGAGCGATTTTCCAAAAAATTCCATCTGGTGTGCCTCAAATGTTTTATGTTTAGCTTACAACAAAAAAAGCTAGACTAGGGTCTTGATTGTTAATAAATTAAAGTTTTATTTATTTTATTTATAGCTTAACATTATAAGCTAATTTGGAATTAAGAAAATTAAGATTTAACCCATCCTATTTTTTTAAAGCATATAATTTAGATAAAAACGGCCAAAAGAAGATATGATATTTTTTGAGTTGCTGTGTTCATTTTTAAAATTTAAATAGGATTTGCACATTTCATTTTAACATACTGCTGTTTTTTATATAATTTTTAAAATTAAATTTCAACTTTACCTAGATACTGGTTAAATTGTGTTCCCTTTAATTTATCTGTGTATATATTTTTCCCATTATTTTTCGTACCATAGCTAAGCATAAAAAAACTAGTACTCCTTGCTGATTCTGAGTATTGAGCATTTATCACCATGTTCCCTACATATCTAAATATCTTTATATCTATACATATTTTATTTTCAGGAGGACTGCATTGTGATCTGCGTGGACTGGGAGAACGGGGCCACCTTTCCGAACTACGTGAGGGCGGCGGCCAATACGCGTCTGGTGGGCAAACAGCTGGCCATGTTGCTCCGGAATCTGCAGCAGCACAAGGGCCTCGACCTAATGCGCACCCATGTGATCGGCTTCAGCTTGGGGGCTCATGTCTCCGGCTTTGCCGGCGCCGAGCTGCCCGGACTGTCGCGGATCACCGGACTGGATCCGGCGGGCCCGCTCTTCGAGGCCCAGCATCCCAAGGTGCGACTGGACAGCAGCGACGCGGAGTTCGTGGACGTGATCCACTCGAACGGGGAGAACCTGATCCTGGGCGGCCTGGGCTCCTGGCAGCCCATGGGCCACGTGGACTACTATCCGAACGGAGGACGCGTCCAGACGGGCTGCTCCAATCTCTTCGTCGGCGCTGTCACCGATTTCATATGGTGTAAGTTTTGGGTTTGGGGACTTAAATGTTAAATATTTTAAGCAGAAAGACAAATTTCATTTTAATATACTCAAACATTTTAATATTAATTTTTTTTTATTTTAATAGTTTACTCAGTAAGACAAATTCATAAAATATATATTACAATATACATTACACATTTGATATAAACAAATATTATTCTTAAACAATTCTGGCAAAAAAAAAAGTAATTTGATTATTTATATAGCTTTAAAAACTTTGAGATTATTAGATTTGCCATGATCGATTGGATTTCCTTTTTTTGAATTATAAATATTTGCTTGTTGACGATTTAAAAAAGTTATGTAGTTTAGATGTTTTTTTTTTAGTAAGCTAGAGTTCTTTCCCGAAGAAGCAAATGTTGGTTTCAATGAAATGCCTAATTTTAAATATTTTGTATTTAAAACTTTAAAAATTGTTTTAAAAATATAAAGTTATGTCCAACATAGAGCATAGGTAGTTAAAATATGATACAAAATTTCAATAAGCCAAGAGATTCCGTTCATTTTTTTAAGGAACAAAAAACTACGAATTAAAATGATATTAAAATGTAATCGTAAATATTTGTTTGACCTGCGAATGTTTGTTTTCTGTGAAGTAATTCTTTTGTTTGCCCATTTGCCACAGCTGCCCAGGCTGCCGAGGACGAGGAGGGACGTTCGTTGTGCAACCATCGACGGGCCTACAAGTTCTTCATCGATTCGGTGGCACCGCGCTGCCTGTTTCCGGCCTTTCCCTGCGGCAGCTACGACGACTTCCTCAAGGGCCGCTGCTTTCCGTGTGCCCAGGACGACGAGGACCTGGCCGAGGGTGTGCCCCGTTGCGGCAACATGGGCTACTATGCCGATCGGTCCACGGGCAGGGGCCAGCTGTACCTGCTGACCCGCGAGGAGGAGCCCTTCTGCGCCCACCAGTTCCAGCTGCAGATCTTCAACTCCTTCAACGACCTGCCACTGCGCACCATTGGGCGGCTGGAGGCGATCCTCGAGGGAGATGGCGGCCTCAATGAGACCTTCGAGATATCCGAGTGAGTGGGCATTTCATAGAAGGGTATATCACAGATACCTGAAAATCGACTTGATAGCAGAGCTTCCAAACACTGATTTTGTCCTAAAAAAGAAAAATAATTAAATTTCTTAAAAATATTGTTTAATATAATACGAAAAATAATGCTCTAGAGGATTTGTAGAATCCAACAGCACTGCTTTACTTTTTGGGCTACATTTTGGTTAATGACTGTAGTTGACGTTAGAATATAGGAACTCTCTTCCGAAAATTCGCGGTTTTCGGTCCATGGTTTTAGGCATACCAATATGTTACTGTCTTAAAAAGAAAACGGTAATTTTTCAGAAAAGTATAGACTAACAAATAAAGAAATTACGAATTGAAACTAAAAAGATTGAGTTTTTGGCAGCTCTGCTTAAAGGTATAGGAAAACGCAGTGAAATGACCCCCTTTCATTATGGTTTCCCCACAGAAAGGACGATGCGGAGTTCTTCGCCGGCGACATAGTGTCCAAGATCATTGTGCCGCATCCCGCCCTGGGATTCCCCACCACCCTGAGCCTGCACTACAAGTCGTACAGCGGGTGGCTGAGCAAGGGCCTGCCCCACTGGGACATCGACAAGGTGGTGCTGACGGACAGCTTCGGCCGGAGCCATTCGCTGTGCCGCCCCACCACCAAGCTGAGCAGCGGCAGTCCGGTCCGCCTGCGCCTCCAGGCGGGCAACTGTGAGCTGGACAACCAGGAGGACTACGGGACAACGTACACCACGGCGCCACCTGCGGGCGGCAGTCCCACACTATCGCCACTGGGCACCGAGATGCCCACCGATTCCAGTGCCCAGGAGTCAGGCGTCGATGGCGTGGAGAGCGTGAAGCAGCGCAAGGACATCTTCAATTTGGGCACCAGCTTCAAGTTGGCCCGCAATCAGACATATCCGCTGGATCAGGGTGACGAACTGCCCTGGCAGCCCATTCTGGTGGGCAACTCGCTGGACAATGAGACGGCTGGTGCCGCGGAGTCCAGTCGAAGCCTCTCGGATGCAGCGGATTCCGTGGATTCTCCAGATTCAGCGGTAGCCGCTGGCGAAATCTTCGAGCCGGTGCTCAAGGATCGCAGGCTGGCCGTGAATAGGGGGCGAAATTTGCAGGACTATGGCACCACCGACAGTCCGGAGATTGTGGAGCCCGTGCTGAAGGCCACCACGCCGCGTGTTAAGCAGGGCAAGGATCTGGATTTATCGGACAGCGAAGTGGTGGCCGCCATGCCGGCAAAGGCAATGACGCAGATGGGCACCGGACGATCCCCAGATCCGGATGAGCCGCAAACGGTGCAACTGCTGCCGTTCCGGCTGGGCGAACTCCTACAGCGGGCCGAGCGGTATGCCCGGGAAACCCTTTTGCCACTGATATCCGTGCAGGCGCCGCGCTTCTTTGGCTTCAATGTGACGCCCCACGATCGGGGCGTGGCCATTCCGGGGGAATCGCGCAAGCCCCGCTACATACCGCGCTACGAGGAGTCGGCCTTTCTGAATGCCAACTCCAGTTCCTCCAGTCGAAGATCGCAGAAGGCCGCCCGCCGGTCGGCAGTGCAGCAGAGAAACCGCAACCTCTTCCGACTGATGCGATCTCGTGGTCAGTCGGTGGATAAGGAGGGACAGCCGGAGCAGGAGGAGTACCAGCCACGGGGGCAGGAAGGACAGCAGCAGGAGCAGCAGCAGAACGAGGTGAACTACTACACCAATGTGCTGCAGTCAGAGTCGCGATCGATGCGACCCGAAACGCCAGAGTACAGGCCCGTGTTCATCGATCTACCCACCTACAAGCCGCTGACTGCTTCAGCTGCAGTTGCCGCTTCCGTTTCCGCTTCCGCTTCCACTTTCGTATCCGCCTCCGTTTCGAGAGCCCGAAGGCGCGGCAGATCCCCCAAGCTGCTTCCCTGATATTCCCCGATATTCAGACAAACAGATATATATACACATATCTCAGCTGTCCCGCCATCGGGGATAAACACTTTGTGATATGCACACCAGATCGTGGCTATGGCACAGCTCCAAAAATCCAAATCCCAAACCCCAAACCCCCATTTACATTCACACTCACATTACACCACCCATCCTCACACTGTAAATATCCGAATCGAGCAAGCAAAGATATAAACTGAAATGAAATTTTTATATCGTGGACCGTTGCGTAGCATAAGATATTGAATGTAAGATTCTGAATGTGAGAAATTTAGTTGTTAACATAAAACCTACAGTCGATGATCTCGACTTTAAGATAACAGTATATAATATATGCTTTTTATTTTTGGGAGAATTAATGCAATAAAAATTGCCGGTCAGTTAGTCAATACATTTCAAAACCATTTAAGTATCTTAAGACTTTAAGATAACAGTATGAATTTAATTTTGGGATTAAATGAATTACAGGATACACTTCAAAATAAAAATAAGAGCTGCATGTTAATTTTTGACAAGTTAACAAATACTTTTAAGAACTGTACAAGTTGGTTTAAAAGAATGCATTTCTTAAATTCAACCGGTTACCAAAAGGCTGCAAGATTTCTTTTAACCAAGTACCAAAGAAAAATCCAATAAAAATATGTATATTTTTGGCGAATCTCTGCCAACAGAGAAAAATCACTTGAAAAACCGGTCTTTTGTATATCAAAACCCCGGGAAGCAATGGTCAAATGTTGGAATGTCATACACCGTTGAGTTCGTAATAAAATTTCCAATCGAATGGCATTCACAGTTAAAAAATTTTCAGATTTTCAAATTTCTGCAAAAAATGATGATGTACCCCCTTACAAAAAAGTCAGAAATTTGGACAAAATTAAATTTGTCAAAAAACGTTTTTCAAAATTCGGTTTTTGCGTCAAGACAAAATAAATTGTTTTCAATCGATCAGGGATGGATGGTATGGGTTGCCAGCTGTTCAAAATAGCAACTCTTTTGACTTTGGGTCTTATTTTGGTAAAGTTACAGTAAAAAGACTCTCCAAAAATATTTTTGTTTGAAAAATCGCCAAAAATCCCAAAAGACACATTAAAAATTTGGTTTTTGTGTCAAAACCCTGGGAAATAATGGTCAAAATGTGGAATGTCATACACCGTTGAATTCGTAATAAAATTTCCAATCGAATGGCATTCACAGTTAAAATTTTTTCAGATTTTCAAATTTCTGCAAAAAATGATGATGTACCCCCTTACAAAAAAGTCAAAAATTTCGACAAAATTAAATTTGTCAAAAAACGTTTTTCAAAATTCGGTTTTTGCGTCAAGACAAAATAAATTGTTTTCAATCGATCAGGGATGGATGGTATGGGTTGCCAGCTGTTCAAAATAGCAACTCTTTTGACTTTGGGTCTTATTTTGGTAAAGTTACAGAAAAAAGACTCTTCAGAAAAAATGTTGTTTGAAAAATCGCCAAAAATCCCAAAAAACACAATAAAAACTTGGTTTTTGTGTCAAAACCCTGGGAAATAATGGTCTAATGTTGGAATGTCATACACCGTTGAATTCGTAATAAAATTTCCAATCAAATGGCATTCACAGTTAAAATTTTTTCAGATTTTCGAATTTCGGCAAAAAATGATGATGTACCCCCTTACAAAAAAGTCAAAAATTTGGACAAAAATAAATTTGTCAAAAAACGTTTTTCAAAATTCGGTTTTTGAGTCAAGACAAAACAAATTGTTTTCAATCGATCAGGGATGGATGGTATGGGTTGCCAGCTGTTCAAAATAGCAACTCTTTTGACTTTGGGTCTTATTTTGGTAAAGTTACAGCAAAAAGACTCTTCAGAAAAAATGTTGTTTGAAAAATCGCCAAAAATCCCAAAAAACACAATAAAAACTTGGTTTTTGTGTCAAAACCCTGGGAAATAATGGTCTAATGTTGGAATGTCATACACCGTTGAATTCGTAATAAAATTTCCAATCAAATGACATTCACAGTTAAAATTTTTTCAGATTTTTGAATTTCGGCAAAAAATGATGATGTACCCCCTTACAAAAAAGTCAAAAATTTGGACAAAAATAAATTTGTCAAAAAACGTTTTTCAAAATTCGGTTTTTGCGTCAAGACAAAATAAATTGTTTTCAATCGATCAGGGATGGATGGTATGGGTTGCCAGCTGTTCAAAATAGCAACTCTTTTGACTTTGGGTCTTATTTTGGTAAAGTTACAGCAAAAAGACTCTTCAGAAAAAATGTTGTTTGAAAAATCGCCAAAAATCCCAAAAAACACATTAAAAACTTGGTTTTTGTGTCAAAACCCTGGGAAATAATGGTCTAATGTTGGAATGTCATACACCGTTGAATTCGTAATAAAATTTCCAATCAAATGGCATTCACAGTTAAAATTTTTTCAGATTTTCGAATTTCGGCAAAAAATGATGATGTACCCCCTTACAAAAAAGTCAAAAATTTGGACAAAAATAAATTTGTCAAAAAACGTTTTTCAAAATTCGGTTTTTGCGTCAAGACAAAATAAATTGTTTTCAATCGATCAGGGATGGATGGTATGGGTTGCCAGCTGTTCAAAATAGCAACTCTTTTGACTTTGGGTCTTATTTTGGTAAAGTTACAGCAAAAAGACTCTTCAGAAAAAATGTTGTTTGAAAAATCGCCAAAAATCCCAAAAAACACAATAAAAACTTGGTTTTTGTGTCAAAACCCTGGGAAATAATGGTCTAATGTTGGAATGTCATACACCGTTGAATTCGTAATAAAATTTCCAATCAAATGGCATTCACAGTTAAAATTTTTTCAGATTTTCGAATTTCGGCAAAAAATGATGATGTACCCCCTTACAAAAAAGTAAAAAATTTGGACAAAAATAAATTTGTCAAAAAACGTTTTTCAAAATTCGGTTTTTGCGTCAAGACAAAATAAATTGTTTTCAATCGATCAGGGATGGATGGTATGGGTTGCCAGCTGTTCAAAATAGCAACTCTTTTGACTTTGGGTCTTATTTTGGTAAAGTTACAGCAAAAAGACTCTTCAGAAAAAATGTTGTTTGAAAAATCGCCAAAAATCCCAAAAAACACAATAAAAACTTGGTTTTTGTGTCAAAACCCTGGGAAATAATGGTCTAATGTTGGAATGTCATACACCGTTGAATTCGTAATAAAATTTCCAATCAAATGACATTCACAGTTAAAATTTTTTCAGATTTTTGAATTTCGGCAAAAAATGATGATGTACCCCCCTTACAAAAAAGTCAAAAATTTGGACAAAAATAAATTTGTCAAAAAACGTTTTTCAAAATTCGGTTTTTGAGTCAAGACAAAACAAATTGTTTTCAATCGATCAGGGATGGATGGTATGGGTTGCCAGCTGTTCAAAATAGCTACTCTTTTGACTTTGGGTCTTATTTTGGTAAAGTTACAGCAAAAAGACTCTTCAGAAAAAATGTTGTTTGAAAAATCGCCAAAAATCCCAAAAAACACATTAAAAACTTGGTTTTTGTGTCAAAACCCTGGGAAATAATGGTCTAATGTTGGAATGTCATACACCGTTGAATTCGTAATAAAATTTCCAATCAAATGGCATTCACAGTTAAAATTTTTTCAGATTTTCGAATTTCGGCAAAAAATGATGATGTACCCCCTTACAAAAAAGTAAAAAATTTGGACAAAAATAAATTTGTCAAAAAACGTTTTTCAAAATTCGGTTTTTGCGTCAAGACAAAATAAATTGTTTTCAATCGATCAGGGATGGATGGTATGGGTTGCCAGCTGTTCAAAATAGCAACTCTTTTGACTTTGGGTCTTATTTTGGTAAAGTTACAGCAAAAAGACTCTTCAGAAAAAATGTTGTTTGAAAAATCGCCAAAAATCCCAAAAAACACAATAAAAACTTGGTTTTTGTGTCAAAACCCTGGGAAATAATGGTCTAATGTTGGAATGTCATACACCGTTGAATTCGTAATAAAATTTCCAATCAAATGACATTCACAGTTAAAATTTTTTCAGATTTTTGAATTTCGGCAAAAAATGATGATGTACCCCCTTACAAAAAAGTAAAAAATTTGGACAAAAATAAATTTGTCAAAAAACGTTTTTCAAAATTCGGTTTTTGCGTCAAGACAAAATAAATTGTTTTCAATCGATCAGGGATGGATGGTATGGGTTGCCAGCTGTTCAAAATAGCAACTCTTTTGACTTTGGGTCTTATTTTGGTAAAGTTACAGCAAAAAGACTCTTCAGAAAAAATGTTGTTTGAAAAATCGCCAAAAATCCCAAAAAACACATTAAAAACTTGGTTTTTGTGTCAAAACCCTGGGAAATAATGGTCTAATGTTGGAATGTCATACACCGTTGAATTCGTAATAAAATTTCCAATCAAATGGCATTCACAGTTAAAATTTTTTCAGATTTTCGAATTTCGGCAAAAAATGATGATGTACCCCCCTTACAAAAAAGTCAAAAATTTGGACAAAAATAAATTTGTCAAAAAACGTTTTTCAAAATTCGGTTTTTGCGTCAAGACAAAATAAATTGTTTTCAATCGATCAGGGATGGATGGTATGGGTTGCCAGCTGTTCAAAATAGCAACTCTTTTGACTTTGGGTCTTATTTTGGTAAAGTTACAGCAAAAAGACTCTTCAGAAAAAATGTTGTTTGAAAAATCGCCAAAAATCCCAAAAAACACAATAAAAACTTGGTTTTTGTGTCAAAACCCTGGGAAATAATGGTCTAATGTTGGAATGTCATACACCGTTGAATTCGTAATAAAATTTCCAATCAAATGGCATTCACAGTTAAAATTTTTTCAGATTTTCGAATTTCGGCAAAAAATGATGATGTACCCCCTTACAAAAAAGTAAAAAATTTGGACAAAAATAAATTTGTCAAAAAACGTTTTTCAAAATTCGGTTTTTGCGTCAAGACAAAATAAATTGTTTTCAATCGATCAGGGATGGATGGTATGGGTTGCCAGCTGTTCAAAATAGCAACTCTTTTGACTTTGGGTCTTATTTTGGTAAAGTTACAGCAAAAAGACTCTTCAGAAAAAATGTTGTTTGAAAAATCGCCAAAAATCCCAAAAAACACAATAAAAACTTGGTTTTTGTGTCAAAACCCTGGGAAATAATGGTCTAATGTTGGAATGTCATACACCGTTGAATTCGTAATAAAATTTCCAATCAAATGACATTCACAGTTAAAATTTTTTCAGATTTTTGAATTTCGGCAAAAAATGATGATGTACCCCCTTACAAAAAAGTCAAAAATTTGGACAAAAATAAATTTGTCAAAAAACGTTTTTCAAAATTCGGTTTT